CGTTCAGGTTGTAACCAGTTGAGAAGAATCCTCGAAATAATAATAAAAGATGAGCTCATATTATCTTTTGGTACAATTGTTGTTCTTCCATTGTTCAAGTGTATTAATGGGAAGAATTGCATGAAGTTTTTAACCAGAATATCTTAGTTTCGAACTGTGATGGGTGCATAATGCTAATGAATCCCAGATTAGGCGGAAACAACTCTCCAGTTTCCCCTGGTTTTCAATAGTTCTCTTACTGATATCAGTTTCTGGTCAAACTTGAAACTGGAATAAACAGAGGGCGATAGATATCTTAGGTTATTTTAGTAATCTGCACACATACCAGCCATCCACACGTCCCCCCCTCCGCCACATACACACGTAAGTATGCAATAATGGACATACAAACAACTTTTTTAAGAATGTCAGACATAATTTTATTGAGGTGTAGCATATTCATCTTATAACTGCTACACAAAAGAAATCAATAAGCATGTACACACTTCCAATGAGAGAATGAAAAGCAACGATCAAAATTTTCCATTATTTATTTATTTATTTAGTCACTTTTTCAATAATGAAAATCTTTCTTTATTTTATATCCTAACCATCATCACTATATTTGTTTCTATTATTCATTGACTATTTATGCTGGTGTTTGTCAAAAAAGTATGCATATATAGCGGTCTCTTAAAAGCAGTTCATAGACATCAAAGATATTGTCAGATAACTATTGTAATAATAAAAATAATAATAATAATAACAGTAGTATCAACATTCACCATGATTAGTATTCACTTTGGAAGAATTTTTCTAAACAAAGGGTTAATCCTCCACAGAAAAGTTGCAGGAATTTTTAATTATTTATCAGTTAAACTGATTTTGAGTGAACCCATTGAATACACAAGCACAACTCTCGCTTTTCATTGTTAATATGTCTTCAATGAGAAGAAGAAAAGACGATGAATACTACGGTGAATCAATGTACTTCATATATGTCCAAACCAAGTTCACTTTTAACGGTTTGAAAAAATTTGGGCATTGGGTATATGATATTCATTATAATAGAGGTTTTTTGTATTTCCCAATGAATGAAAAAACAAAACGAGATTGTTTTTACTGACATTTCGCTATTTAATGCTGCTAATAGCTTTCTCAAAGTATTATTAAACCAGAATTTACAAAATCTCAGCATATATGTAACAAAGAGTTAGGGGGTGAGAAAAAAATACAGACTTAGTTCAACTTAAAAGGACATATTGAAAGTCAAAATAACAATGAAGATCGTTCAAACCAAATATCAAAGGTAATAGTATATCTGTTATTATATCAAAATAAAGTTTACTACCTTGATCATCGTTCGTTAGTCTGGGGTCATTTCTGGTTGTCAAGTTGGAGAATAGGTAAAGGTAACCAAACTAAGTGTAGGCTGTGAAATACTTGATCATCGTTCGTCAGTCTGGGTCGTTATTTTGTTGTCAAGTTGGCGAACTGGTAAAGATAACAAAATCAAGTGTAGATTGTTGGATTTTGTCAGTGTGTAGAATTATGGAAGTAGTGTGTGTTTACATAGTGAACTTGCTCATCACATTTGCGTTGATTTTGCTACTTCATGGAGGAGGGTGTTGTAGCCAGATCAGATTCTGTTTTAGTCCATCATTCCTATTCAGGCAATTTGGATTCCACTTGATATGAAGTGCTTCTGATATTAGACGTTCTTTGTGGTTTCTGAAGTTTTTCTGGATTATTTCAATATTATCAAAATCAATTTTGTGGCCTGATTCTATGGCATGTAGACCTATGGCTGATGATTTTTGAAGTTTTTTCTAGTTCAGTTGGATCTCTTGGTGTTCGAAGAGATGCTCTACGGTGTTCATTTCTTCTGATTTTGATTTCTCTAGATGTTTGTCCGATGTAGATCGCATCACATTCCGAACATTTTATTTTATAGACACAATTGGATAGAGAATCTTTAGGGATTTGGTCTTTTATATGGACAAGGTTGTTTTGTCCACCAAGAAATCCAACTGAACTAGAAAAAACTTCAAAAATCATCAGCCATAGGTCTACATGCCATAGAATCAGGCCACAAAATTGATTTTGATAATATTGAAATAATCCAGAAAAACTTCAGAAACCACAAAGAACGTCTAATATCAGAAGCACTTCATATCAAGTGGAATCCAAATTGCCTGAATAGGAATGATGGACTAAAACAGAATCTGATCTGGCTACAACACCCTCCTCCATGAAGTAGCAAAATCAACGCAAATGTGATGAGCAAGTTCACTATGTAAACACACACTACTTCCATAATTCTACACACTGACAAAATCCAACAATCTACACTTGATTTTGTTATCTTAACCAGTTCGCCAACTTGACAACAAAAAAACGACCCAGACTGACGAACGATGATCAAGTATTTCACAGCCTACACTTAGTTTGGTTACCTTTACCTATTCTCCAACTTGACAACCAGAAATGACCCCAGACTAACGAACGATGATCAAGGTAGTAAACTTTATTTTGATATAATAACAGATATACTATTACCTTTGATATTTGGTTTGAACGATCTTCATTGTTATTTTGACTTTCAATATGTCCTTTTAAGTTGAACTAAGTCTGTATTTTTTTCTCACCCCCTAACTCTTTGTTACATATATGCTGAGATTTTGTAAATTCTGGTTTAATAATACTTTGAGAAAGCTATTAGCAGCATTAAATAGCGAAATGTCAGTAAAAACAATCTCGTTTTGTTTTTCATTCATTGGGAAATACAAAAACCTCTATTATAATCAATGTACTTCCCTTTACTACCAGCATGCTTAAAGTAAAACTATGCAAAGTAATTAAACGTTAATGAATATTGGGTTCAATCAACTGATAGAATAGGTGACAAGAATTTGGATTAGATTACAAGTTTTATCACACATAGATACTAGTTAGAGAACCGTTGAAAACAAGCAGGGAGCACTGCCAGACAGCTGTTTCCTCCGCCCCAGTTTCGGACTCATTGGTAATACGCATCCACCACCGGGGTTTGAACCCAGGACCTTCAGATTACAAGGCCAATGAGTTCGTATACCATTCAGCCACTGGGACCCAATTCATCAATGGACATCCCATGAATTCTAACTTCTACCGATTAGTGATTTACTGCGAGCACCATCTAATCCCTACAAACCAAACTCTTGAAAATTAATCTGATGCTCGCTAGTGACTTGCTACAGAACAGAGGTTCCTGGAGTTCTAGTGAGAAGTCGTGACCAGTGAAGTCCATCCAGTCAAATGTGAGTATGGAGTTCCAAATGATGATATTGTTTGGTGGTTGCGCTAAATCACGAATTGGTAGAATTCATGTTTTAGCCATTGAGGAATCGGGTCCAAGTGGCTGATTGAGATACGAGCCCACTGGTCTTGTAACCGGAAGGTTGTTGGGTTTGAACCCTTGCAGTGGGTGCGCATTGCCGAAGAGTCCCCGAACTAGGACGGAGGAAACAACTGTCTCGCACTACTCCGTGTTGGTTTTCCAATGGTTCTCCAAGTGATGTCAGCTCATGATGAAATCCTCCATCCAATCAAACAAAGTCCCAACAAAACCAATACTTGAAAATGAGTGAAAATTATCAATATTACGGATTTTCTTGTCACATTCCAAGCTGAATTTAAACTATAGATTACAAATTCAAGCTTTTTATATGAATTCTGCATACCTACTGTCACATATATAATTGTATTAAAATTAGCCAGAATCGAAGTTGATTGACCTAATTGGACATTTTCTCATTCATACTTGGTTCAGAGTAATTTTTAGGTCATTTATGTGTGATAATATGACACTTCAAGTTGACTGTGTTTACTATTATATAATTTAGACAGATTTTTCTTTTTTTTAACCTAACCAGTTAATCGAATGAAATTAAAGCATCTAAGAAAATGGGACCCAATTTCTCAATGGTTATCCCATGAATTCTAACTTCTACCAATTAGTGATGTCTCGCCAGTGGCACTGGTTGGTAGTCGTGCTAAATCATGAATGGGTAGAAGTTAGAATTCATAAGATGGCCATTAAATCGTGTCCCAGTGGCTGAATGGTATACGAGCTCATTGGCCTTGTAAGCAGAAGGTCATGTGTTGGAACCCTGTCGATGAGTGCATACTGACGAAGAGTCCCAAACTAGGACGGAGGAGAGCGTTGTCCAGTACTCCCAGTTTGCTTTTTAATGGTTCTCTAACTGTGATATCAATCCATGGTCAAACTCGTATACACAAATCTACTAACTACTTAAAAGATATATAAAAATCCATTCATCAATCAATCGTTTATCATGAACACATTTATGCATAAAGTGAATTCATCAATAGATGTATGACACGAGAATAATTAATCACATAAAGTTTCATCATATTTTTTAAATAACCCTTATTGCTCATCATTGGAATACAACAATAACCACAATTTGTTATTATCAAATTTAGCCTAACACCTCAGCGTACACAACACTTTCTTGTTAAGATTAAGATCAATTCAAACAATAAGTGAAAATTCATTCATGGGCTCACCTTTTTTATATAAAGCAGCGGATTATCTCCAACTCTACTTCCTTTTCCTTTCAGAAATGAATGAATGAATACAAAGGTGAAATGATGATTTACTTTATTTCCTAATTTAATTAAATGCATCCTCTATAAATGCATACAATACACATGGTTAAAACAATATTTTTGTTCATCCAGACACCGGACTTTTCAAATGGATACATGTACATACATATATTGACATAAGAGTTCATATTTGTTAATTATTCATTATATATTTGAAGAAGTAGCAATAGTAATTGTAGATGTGTGTGTGTGTGTGTACGCGCTTGTCAATAGCACTTTGAATACAAGTTAACAAGGCAATTTTAAATAAATCTCATTATTATTACTATTATTATTTGGCTTAACAACTACATTAAATGTATACAATCAGCAATTACTAGCCAACACTTAAAAGATACATGGTTAATTCAAGTTTTATTTAAAAATGATTCCTCTGGACTGGTTGTTGATTGTGTGAAAAGTGATAGTCGTTTATTTGGGAAATTTGTTTGATGTGGATAAAGATCTTTAAATTTCTGTGATTGCATATCATGTTTTTGCATTACTTCTTGAAATGCTTGAAGATGATGTCTATACGAGATAGAGGCTTGATTTGTATTCGCTTGAGAATTTCTTGCTTCCATACAGATATTGCTTAATTCACCTAAAGAATCTATACAACTGGATTGTTTATCAGCTTCTAATTCTGTATATGCTGCACCATTACTTTTTACAGAAGGAAATCTTTCTTGTCCACTAGACTGTGAAAAAGATTGTCGGCAGACTGCTGTTCTTCGAATACTTTTATTTTTTTCTTGATTTAATGTTTCAGGATTTGAACTTTCAAGTGCTTCTTCATTGAAATTATCACCGGGATAACTGAATCGTTTTTGATCATCTGAAACATGAACATAGGTGGTAAGCTCTTCACTTTCTGATTCTCTATGATAAAAGTAGTTGAAATTTGATACAATAACAGGTACAGGAAGGGCAATAGTTAAAACACCAGCTATTGCACACATTGAACCTACAATTTTACCCCACATTGTTACAGGTCTCATATCACCATAGCCAACTGTAGTCATTGTAACAACTGCCCACCAAAATGCATGTATAATACTTGGAAATTGTTCTTCACCACCATCAACTTCTGCAAAATAAACTGCAGCAGAAAAAAGTACTACACAGACAAAGAGGAAAAAGCAAAGCAGACATAATTCTCTAAAACTTGCTTTAAGTGTTCTTCCAAGAACCTGTAGTCCTTTAGAATGACGAGATAGTTTGAAGATACGAAAGACTCTCACCAGTCGAATCACTCTCAATATGGATAATGACATAGCTTGGTTCTGTGTTTTAGTAGTTTCTGCTAATAGTGCACCAATTGATATTGCGTACGGAATGATTGATACAACATCGATCAAGTTCATTACTTGTTTGAAAAACGCCAATTTTTGTGGGCAAGCTGCAAAACGAGCTAACAGCTCAAAAGTGTACCAAACAACACAAATAGACTCTAGGATGAACAGTGTTCCTGTAACTTGAGGGGTATCTACAGCAGAAATAGTTGGTAGTTTAGTAGGACCTTCGATAAACTCAAGTTCATAATGTCTGAAATGCGGCAAAGTCTCAACACAAAAAATAATAATTGAAATGAGAATGACTAGTAGGGAAATAATGGCTACACATCTCGCTGCAATTGAACTCTCAGGGTACTCAAAAAGCAGCCAAACTTTTCTCTGAAATTTATTTTTAGGAAGAATATGTACATCCTCTTTAGTAAAACCTTCATCTTCACGGTAACGTTCGAATATTTCTTCTCCTAGATCATAAAACTTTATTTCCTCAGTAAAAACGTCAATTGGTACGTTAACTGGTCTTCTAAGCCTCCCACCACTTTGATAAAAATAAAGTATTGCATCAAAACTTGGACGATTCCTGTCGAAAAAATATTCATTTCTGAGGGAGTCGTAGTAACGGCTTCTCCTGAAAGGACAACCAAGAAGGGTATTGGGAAAGCGATTAAGAGTGTCTGTATGAGTTTCAAAACGAAGACCGCTAACATTAATCACAATGCGCTGATTGGTCATTCTGACTTTAATTTGGCCATCAGAACATCTGAATTCATAAGATTTTATGTAGTCTGTTACAAAACGACACATATTAAACAGTGTAAAGGATTTTGTAGTCGCTGAACTTTCCAAACCCGCAAATCCTCCGATAATACTAACGTTTTCATGTGAATCATATAAACTGGAATTAGATAAAGTGGTATTGAGAAATCAGTGTGAGCTGGCTCCGTAATTAAAAGTCGGAATGAGAATGGTATTTTAAATCCACAGTACTCATTAGCACAGGTAAAAGAAAGTATAAAATGGGAATGAAAAAGCCTTTCACATTCCCTGTAAGAAGAACAACACATGTTAGGGCACAAACTAGGAGAAAATTGGCCAATCAGAAACGTCCATTACGTATCCCCAAAAATAAGCTGTGGTTTCTTTGAAAATTATCACTAAAATGCAAGAGTATTAAAAAAGTGTGATTCTTAGAGTAAAAACCTAAAATATACATCATAATGTTCTTAGAATATAGTCAAGAAGTGTCTTCGAAGGCTTTGGCTACTACGACATTAAAGCATACAGAACCTTAAATAATGAAATTTATTCAATTTTTTGATAAAAGAATATATAATATTAGTATTTGGGCCTTTGAGATTTATTTTATTTAACAATTTTCTTTTCATGACGTGATTCAATTCTTGAGGCGCTCACTTCAAATCTTTGGGGATGACACAATTCTTACCGCCCAATTTATTGGCTCTCTTCGCACCACGAGACCCGATACCATTTCTTCCTCCCATTGAAAAGCATGCACACCACAGAAAGCTTCCATACACTGGAGTAGCCCAATTTTTAGGAGAGTTTGAGGTAAGTTCCCAATGTGAACTCGTATGTTGGTTGTAATGCTCACAAGTTCTTATCGATACTAAAGCATACTCCTAAACTCACTTATCTCGATGTATAAGTTTTGCTAGCTTGTAACCGTTAATGTTGTTTGATAGTCATTCAGGCTTCAGAGTTCAACATATAATATCACTTTCATTGTTTCTTAGTAGTAAATGTGGCTTAATGCATCATAAATGCTTAGCCTTTATTAATAACCTAGTGCCGTTCATTCAAACTGGTGTATATTTAGGATATACCATACCATTGCCTCAAGTTCTCGCATTTTTCATGCTTTATTCTAGGACCCATCAGAAACTCCAGCCCCAGTGCGAATCGAAACGCGTGAGGAGCGAAAGGAAAGAAAGGTATGGTCTGTTTAAATTTGATAAGTCTTTCAGCGTCGTGAAAAACAAGAACAAGCTAATTACAAACTTGAGCAAGACTTAGCGCTATGTAAGTCGCCTGTGCATTTTATGAATTTCATGTAGGGAATCCAAAGAAAAACCCAAAAGCTACTGCAAATCCTTACAACACCATGTTCATGGCCAGACTGGTAAGTTATGGGCATATAATGTAACATTTCACAAGAAATATGATACTACAGAAGCCAAGATCAGAAGAGAACTTGAAGTATTTGGACGCATTAATAATGTAACGTGAATATTTTCTGAACTTCATCTTCTTAGATTGTAATGGTCGAAAATGTAATAACAGGAAAATCTCGAGGATACTGCTTCGTAGAGTTTGAGCACGAACGTGATATGCACGGTGAGCTGTTATATTTGCCTTGTTGAGTCGCTGTCAGTTAGTGATCTTTTCTTAATCCATTTTCAATCTGGTGATTCGTAGTGCTCATGTTTGTAAGGCGAAATAGTTACTTAGCTCTTCACAGCCTTCATTGTATGGTTTGTTCTCTTTTCTCTTCAGGCATCTGTTCGTTAACGTGCAGTTGTGCTCACTCAAAAATAAATGACTGGATTGCATTGCATATTTAAAACGTGTTCAGCCAGGCGCTTAACTACAGAAAAATTTGGCTTAGGTTTGTTTGTGTGGTAAGCTACTAATGGCTACCAAGGGCCAACCTTTTGTGGTTAAATAATGTATTAGTTCTAAAATTACAGGTTATAGTAAGTGTTACGTATGACCTCAGGGGTTTAAAATCATATCTCTGCCTGGGATCCTTAGTCATCCCACCAGCGGCACGACATACAGGTAGTTATGGTGAGTTTCTGTACAAGCTACTCCTACCAAATGGTCATACTTTCAGAATGCTAGAAAATTTCTCAGGGGACATAGATTAGTATTGTTCTTTCTTATTCCTTCTTGTTTTGAAACTTTAATTTGTGTTTCAACAATCTCCAATGAAGTTATGTAGGATAGTCTGCACTTATTTCAATAAAGCAATTTATAAAGTAAATTTTGATTTGAGAATGTTTTGTATCTGTACTGTCTTACATGGTCGCCAAAAAAAATTCCAGCTGCCGTCAAAGCGCTTAACGGTCGAAAAATTGATGGTGCTCGCGTTGTAACAGACATTGAACGAGGAAGAACACGTCCTGACTGGAGACCAAGGCGTTTAGGTAAGTTATTGCTGTATCCCTATTATGTTAGTGATAGACTGTACATAAGACTGAGTACTCTTAGTTTCTTACAAAACTTATCTGAAATGTTACTAACTGAATGTTCGCTAAAGGATATTAGTTGTCTTCGGGCTACTTAGAGTCATTTACTGTTGGCTTCAACCGTAGAAGTAACAGTAATACTAGTTACACAGCCATTTTATCAAAAAATTAATTACGTCATAGTAACTTCTCCCCCGAGATAAATTCAGAGATGTCACTTGTATACATGAACTTGTTCGCCTTTTTTAGTATTCCAAACCGTTTCTTGTGGTAGCATGTCTCACTGGGGATCGGGTTTGTCCCTTAGAGCATTCTTAACTAATATCCACTAAGTGTATTCAGCCCCTGTTCTCGAACCTTTTAGGAATTCTTATGTAATCTGTAGTATAAGGATTGGAAATATAGGGGATCAACTGTCATATTGTTACTTAAGATATTGCGTCATTATTACACATTCGTTTAGTATAGTAATAAGTATTAATGATTTCCCAGTCACTTATATGGGAGATCAATTCCTGTCACTTACATGGTACCCATTATAATTCAGAATATCAATTTATGTCCGTATGTATAAATAAAAGTTTACTTAAAGTAAGATATAGCACCCTAGACATTTCTACGTCGAAGCTTATAAAGACTGCTATTCGATGATATTGTGAGTCCATAGTTTCTTGCCGAACCAAACTTCATGTTCATATCTTGGAGGTACACACTTAAGGGATTTGCAGGGACTTGTTTCTATGGCCGTTTAATCAAAGGTGTACACGTGCTGGAAATAATGGCTGATCAAAGTCCCTCCAAGTGTTATGAAAGCGTTTTTCATGGACAACTTGTGTCAACCATTGGTTTAATGTCAACATTCTGCATGTGAGACATTTCTCGTATTTTAAGTGTATGCTGGCGAGGAGCCAATGGTTATCGGTCACTATCGCTCGTCCGTCAGGACAAGGCTGGTTCACTTTCCCTACTAATTCACTAACATTGCCTGATAAGGTAACTGAAAGTTTCCAACACAGGACTTTGTAGAAAAATGCAGTGGTTCGAGTTACCACACTTCATCAGATACAAAATAAAGAAGAATACCAGAAAGAGCCAGAGTGAACAGAAGTGTCAGGGAGAAGCAGTAAGCACATGAAGAGTTATAAGAATCTGATGGATCTCTGAGTTCTTGAAGGTTGAATAAATCTGCACCATTGAGAACGATTTTAAGTCATTTCATCAGGTATCTTTAGCCATTGGTCTGTTAGCGTCTTGAAGACTCACCAGGCAGTCCACACCTCCCTACGTGGCTAAAAAGGACTGTCGAAGACTTCATGAATTAATTCCAGGTTTTCATCTGGCCCGCCTGTCTCTCTTCTGGACTAATCCCACGTCAGTTAACGTTACCCGACAAGAAAAGTAATGACTCGAGATGCCTAACGTTTGTCCTGGCCATTCGCATCTATGGTGCTTCACAAACTCCTCGCAAGTTGTTTTCTCCCTCTTACCTAATACTACACGCTTAACCTCAATATTCTTCGCTATATAACACCAATTAACGCGGGCGATAAAATGCAAAATCTGTAGTCCAAAACAGCTAGTTTTTTCACTGTCAATGGCCACGTCACATTTATAATGATGATAAGGGCAAACTATTGTGCAGTACACATGGTTTTTAATCGATAACTAGATAATACGTCCACGTCAGAATTGACGCGAGTTGGCTAGTGTAGCACCTGTCGTTTGTATCTGTGTTGATATTTCTTCATCAGTCCGTTATGATTGATCAACACGTCCGACTACTTCACTCTCTATCTTTTAACTAGGAGTTTATACAGACCAGTTCTGTGTCAGCTGACTTTGTCCATCGAGGAAGGCAATCGGCGGCTAGGCATGCGTAACACATATCCTAACCATTTCAATCGATGTAACTTCACAACCTCGCCGACTGATTTCCCTTCTTACCTAGCACTCGACTGATGCCTAACCCCCAATATTACTCACCTTATTATGCTACTTAACACGAGAAATGGAATGCAGACACTTACGATCAAAGACAGCTAACTTTTTCATGTCTCCTATTTTCGATGGCCATGTCTCTCTCACAGTCATAAAGGAAGACAGCGAGCTGGTGAGCAGTACACACGCCCTTTGGTCGATAGTGAGCCAGATATTACGTCTATGCCAGAGATGACGTAGGTTGGCATGTGCCAAATGAACCTACTATATATGTGCTGAGGTTTCGTCAGCGATCAGCTCATTGGCGCTGATGCAACTTCCCAAATAAGGAAGTGATCAACACGCTCTAACACTTCACTCTTGCCTCTTTTTAAGCTAGGAGTCAATGTAGTCCAGTCCAGTCCTGTAGCACTATCTTACATTTGACGGCAGGAGCGAATCGCATGCCAAGCATCCAAAGATTGCTGCTCAGCCCAAGGTGTTCAGAAGACTCTGTATTATGTCATCGTCTTCACATAGGACTATATCATCTGCATATTCTAAGTTAACAAGATTATGCCCTGGTAAAAAGTCAATCCCTGAGCAGCTGAAGTCAGTTATTGTTAAGTCCATGACTACATCTATGATGAAGCTAAACAAATGGGGACAGTGGACATCCTTGAGGGACGCCACTGGCTGTCGCCACTTCAGATGACAACTCTCCGTAGGCTCTCAACTGGTTAACTGCATAAGTTCTAGTACAGTGCCTTTTTAAGTGCAATGTATTGTCTCGGCATTCCCTTCACAGCCAAACATTGCCATAGAACCTCTCGGTCAACGGGATTGTTTGTAGCCTTCAGGTCAAGAAATATGATGATTGATGGACGCCGGTAAGAATACCTATGTTCCAGAATCTGTCGAAGGGTGAAGATATGATCAAAACACCCTCATTCTCGTCCAAAGCCTGCCTGGTTCTCTCATGTTTGTTCCTCTCAAGCACCGCTTAATCTATGTGTGGTTATTGAGCCTAGAACTTTGGATACTATATTGGTCAAGCTAATCCCCATGTGATTATCACACGAGGACTTGTTTCCCTCCTTGTATATCAGGATAACTAATGGCTTACATCAGTCCTATGGGACTACCTCTGATTCCCAGACTCTGCCTAATACCTTAGTTAACGCAGACAATAAACTGTCTTTGTCGTTCTTAAACACCCAGAATTATCCCATGAGGTCCCACTGCTTTGCGTCGTTTCAGACTAGTGACAGATTTTGTAACCTCAGTTAGGGACAGAGGACTTGTGCATTATCCTATTTAGGGAATTGTTGGATGTTGGGTAAGTTAAGATTGTCTGTATGTCAGTTAAATTACTCTTCAGTGTTCTTTCCAATATTCCAGTCGTCAATCCTGAAAGCTAATTATTGTGCCACTTTTCTCTTATTTCACTTATTTGCCTTTTGCCACCTGTTTTCCTGATAAGTCGAAATAGTTGTCTGATGTTAACTGTCGCCGATTTCGTCTCCATCTCCTTCGCATTTGTCGCCCACCGCTGCTCATGGTCGTTGCGAAGACTTTTTGTTAGTTTTCGTTTGAGTACCTTTCTCTGCTCATCATAATCGGAGCTCGCTGGAATCAGTCTTCTTGCGTCAATCAGTTCGGATGAGGCGGTAGAGATCCAATGGCTTTTACTAACTATAGGTTTTAGCTTATTAACAGCTTTTACAGCTGTCTACAGCTAACTGTATGTTGTGCCGGACTACCTCAGAGGAAGTCCTGCTGTCGACCTCAGAAACTCGTTTCGCTATTTCTTCCTTAAATAAGGACTCAGTATCTCGATCTAGTTGGGGACGTAACTTTCGCTGCCGTCAATTTCTTATGTCAATTTAGTCGTAAGCATAAACGTGCGCGAACCAGGGCGTGATCAGAGTCTACGCACGTGTTCCATAAGTAGCGACAGTCTTCTACTGACCCTCGCCAACGATACCCTATCGCTATGTGGTCTATCTGAGTCCACTGTTGATTTGGTGATGGAAGTCTCCAGGCTAGACAAAGTTAGTGCCGACTAGAATGACTATCTAAACAGAACTATAGAAGACGACCACCATTGTTGATCCGTTGGCAGGCAACTGCGTAGGTACCACCAATATACTTCTCAGTCTGGCATAACCTCCCCACGTCGGCATTTAATTCGCGTACTAAAATAACGATATCTGAGCGTTTTGCTTTTTGCAGCAAACTAGACAGTTTCTGGTGAAAATTATCCTTTAGTTCATCCGGACTGCAGTCGGTTAGGGCGCAGGCGGAGACTATGAAAAGACGGCGGATAACGCCGTCCTTCCTCTTAACAGACCCGTTCAGACGAACTGCACACATATGCCTATCTGCTGGGATTCAGTCAAGAAGTGATTTTTCCGCCCTAATACTCAGTGCTATCCCGGCGAGTCCGCGAGCTAGCTGAGGGGTCTCCTGACACCCTTAAAATGAATTTCGCAGAGATTAACCTTGCTGACCAGATGAGGTCAAGTGAATAGCCACACTCGAGTCTTGAAAGCGTGTCCCCGAAATACAATATACATCCATATCACCAGATGCCAGAGTTTTTGCTAGTAATACCTGTTGTCTGATTCGGCAGAGGAGCCTGTCGTTAAATGCTCCAATATGAAGTTGGCAGTGTGGCTTTAAGAGACTATCCGGGTGTATTTCTGGTTCTCGTTGTCATTTGTGGTCATAGAATGAAATGAAGCGTGTGGATGGTTGTTACTTCGTGGCTGCCTAACAGAAGAGCCCAGGGGACAACTGCTTGAGGCCGGTCACATACGGTCTTCTGAACTGGCTTTTAGGTTCTGTTCCGAATTAGTAACTTACCGCCGGCTACGGACCACCGTAAGGTAAGTTGGGACGTACAATTTTTGAGGCTGATCTTTTCTAAACCCCTCTCTTCAGAGTGGAGAGACACTATAGCTGGCATGCTGGCCATGTAAGAGAAACACCTTACTGCTGTTACATTCCGATTCCTCAGCAGTACGACTTTGCTCACAGGCCCCCAGCATAGTGTAAGGAAATCCTACACTTATACTATGCCGGTAACTGCTTTTAGTTTAATCGCTATCTTAACAATCTTCCTGAAATGGTAGGACCTGCAGGAACGTTGGTTCCTGCCATTGTAACTTGTTGTGTCATTGGGATATGCAAGCCTAACCACTACATCACAGCTAGCAGCTATCGGTCAAGGATTAATGTTTATAAAGTAATCAATTACGCTACCTGTTCTTAGATAATATATAACCTTATATTATTATATCATAATATAACCTTATATAATATGTTTAAAACGATGGACCTGAATTTTGGGAAATGACTGACATTGCCGACTTGTGCATGTATATGCTATTTTGAATGCTTATTATAGCTATAAATTACTGTTGTGCATACATGTAACGCACGAAACTACTGATAATTATCTTAAATGAATAGAGTATTTCAACGCAGAAGTTTATGCACCAAAGCGTGTAACACCTTAAGTTTCATGAAGCTTATAATACTAACTGGTTTCGTGTGAATGAGAAAACTTGTACTTTGGCTTCACCTAGAAATGGTCCCATTCCGATCCACAACAATAGTAGTGAAGCGTTGATAGCACAAAGACTCTGTCACCTCGATGTTTGGAACAAACGCATAGATTTATTTGGATGTACAGATTCCTTGAGGCTTCGTAATTTCTGCGACCTTTTGTCTGCCATTTCCTTCGACCCTTGTACCTGCGCATAAGCTCCTAACAGACTTACTTGTTGATATGGGTTCTGGCAGTTAAACACTATATCACATGGCTATGGTAAAAGTAAAAATGATCTAGAGTCGCAATTTTATATTAAACAGTAGCTTAATTACGAAGTGTGTGCATCGTGCTCGATATGGGCACATCATGCCGTTAAACGAAATTATGATATATTAGTTCTTAGCTTCCTACCGTCATTGATTTTCTTGGTGCTAAGAGTGACAGCTCCATCCGATAATGGTATTTTTTTTATTCAACATTTTCTTTTTTGACTGAAGTGAAAAAGTGGTGAACTAATATCTTCTGGCTAAATTTGATATTTGCAAACTGCACGAATTCATCATGGTCCCACTGAAGTAGCTGAAAGTCCACCTAAATCATCCGATTAGCCATCTGGTCAGAAAGCATTACTGTTTGGTCAAAAACGTTAACTAAATGCGATATAAAACGGCCTATTACCCGAAGAAATAAGCTGTTTGGATGTATTAGTCGCTTCGTTTGTTTTATGGCTGTGAATGGACCTGCGTAATACACGTTTGTCATCTCACTGGATGCAGCTTTAAGTTCCTTTTTCTAACTCGCCTCATCATTACTCACCATGCTGCACCACCGCCTAACATACTCGACTTTAACTACTGAGTCACTGGTCAAACCTCACTCCAACCAACCCAGTTCTTCGGGTAATCAAATACTATCATTAGTCCTCACGCAATAGTAGGCGGGAGATTTACTTGAACTACCTAACATGATACACCGAACGCATAGTTTTCAACTAGTGTGTTCAAATCATTTATTGATGGTCTCTCTAAAGGTACTAACTTCAACGTTGCATCATTTAACAGTTTCTTCATCTATACCCATTTCTAGTTCACGTTCCTTTCTAATGCTTATTATGGTTAAATTTTCAGGTAAAGGTTTGGGTAAGAATCGCCAAGGACCCAGCGACAAATCTCATCGGAAGCATGAAAATGGACGGGCTTCTAGCCGTGATCGAAGTTACGGACGCCCTATATCCAGTGCACATATTCGTGACCGTGAAAAAGATCACAAACGGAGACGCAGTCGAAGTAGGTCGAAAGACCGTGATAGGCGTGCGCGTAGTCGTAAGTTAAATTTGTGAGCATGTTTTTTGTACGATGTTTCCTATAAAACAAATGTTTTTCTTAGTGGTTATACCCAACCTCATGATTATGCCATTTTTGTTAACAGGAAGTCGTGACAGGCATCGAAAACGTCGCACTTCGGATGACCGGGATCGCGATCATAAGCGCCGTGACCGTCGACGCGATGATATGATCCAGCAGTATGGTGAATATGGAGCGGAGATCAGAGCTGAATATAACGGAGATATGTAATTTCCCGTCCTTTTATGCATACAACAATTCACATCTGTGCAAAAATTCTGTATTTTAAAAGCTGTACATTAATAATAATAACTGCGAATAAAACTTCAAAAAAGAGGCTATTTGATTAATGATAGTTTGAGTGCATAATGTCTCACTGACTCATCTTTGGCGCCTTCGAATAGCAGCAAGCTAATATCACACCGAAAAACTGAAAGTAAACTTTATTACTGATCACAGTATCATGACTTACCTCGACAAAAACAAGTGCAAGTGCTACCACGCAGATTATATAGTATTGTTCTCGTAGATTAAGAAGTATTGATTCCATACACCCCTAAAATATTAGCAAAGTTTAATATGTCAGTTGACAAAATTAGCAGAACTCCGTCACAATTAATTATTAACAAGATTCCAGTAGTATTATCTACTGCTTTACAAAATGTTGAATTAGTCGATAGGGATCTAGCAATTCCAACCATCCTGTAGTTGAGATGTTACTTGTAACAAACAACTAAGGCGCAACGTCCTCGTATGGACTTACAGAGAATCATAGTTACATAGTGTGACAGCCATAATATGCGAACTGGGGTTATGGTATTGATGTCTTTCTAGTCTTATCTCGTTCAACAAATAAAACATTTTAACTTGTTAACAGGCTAATTTTGCGTCCTGTGGAGAAATCACTTATGCCAGTCACCTCTAATGAGCAACTTTTATATATAACACGAAAATGAGTCGGTTTAATGTGGACGATGAATATAATTGTTTGCTATTTGTACTTCGGAATTGTTACTCAGTGACTATAAGCTGACGACCTAAACCAGCAATCCGCAGTTCCCCATTATTAGTGAATTGAACAGTTAAGCATTTATAGGGCCAAGTTTAACGCATTATGTGTAGCCGCGACTGTAAAAGGCAAGGGTTCTGTCGATGTTCTCACTTAAGTTTGACACTAACTAGAATTTCCACTATATGCCATAACTAACGAGATACTTCTAATTGACTTCTGCAGTGCAAAGATGGCGGGTAGATTTTTGTTGACTTTGTAAATAATTCTGAATGGTGGGTCAGTTGAGACGCTGTGATAGGTGTTGACGAGGTGTTCAGCTATGGCTCTTCTGATTTAACCAGTGCCTCTTCTTTGCAGCCATGCTGGATAAGACTAGCATAGGACGACCTATGTACCTTGCTTCTCACAAGCAGGTGAACTGATATCTGCACATGGAAGTGGTTATATGCGGAAGTCTATCCTTCACATTGCTCCGAAGCAGTGGGTGGCTAGAGAATATCAGTCCTAGGGTTGCTGCAGGAAAAGTCTTGGTATATTTCAGTCCGGAATTCAGAGGAGACCAAACAGCGGATATCCTTAAAAGGAATCTCCAGTTCCCTAAAGAAGACTTTTCCTGCAGCAATCCTAGGACTGATATTCTCTAGCCACTCACTGCTTCGGAGCAATGTGAAGGATAGACTTCCGCATATAACCACTTCCATGTGCAGATATCAGTTCACCTGCTTGTGAGAAGCAAGGTACATAGGTCGTCCTATGCTAGTCTTATCCAGCATGGCTGCAAAGAAGAGGCACTGGTTAAATCAGAAGAGCCATAGCTGAACACCTCGTCAACACCTATCACAGCGTCTCAACTGACCCACCATTCAGAATTATTTAGGAAGTAAACAAAATAAAACCTCTAAAAGGTACATGCTTGAGTTGATTTTAAAGATGTTTTCATTTGAATGCGTTAAGACTGTCGTAGGCTGTCAGTCAATCACGCTAGTCCATACATTAGAGATGAACAAGATTGTTCGCAATTTTCGCATCAAACGTTAGCTACATTTCAGTAAGGCTGCGAATAGCATCCGGTAGTTCTATTTGCGCCTAAATGTATATGATAATGATAAGAGGTCTAATCATTAAAATGAGTTGCGGGTTACGACTTCACGTGTCGATATGGCAGATGACATATATGAAGTCGATATAAAATCTTGAAGTAGTCCGAACAAACGACTAGGAAAGCTTCAGTAGTAGCTTCAAGGAAATTTGAAATGGATGCACTCTGCAGGAATATTTCGTATTTTTTCATATTTTCTTTTCCATTTCCACCACCTTAGGAATATATGAGAAAACGACTGGGTTAGTCATAAAACACAGAGTTTTATGTAAGCGGTGATTTTTCGTACATAATCGTTCAAATGGACATAAAGTTACACCGTGATCACTACCAGAGCAATACTTAAAGGTTTTCTTATTGCATGACAAACCGACGTCGTTTAGATTCTCAACTTTATATGAGGTTATCAAAGCATCACACTCTATAAGGATTTAGGAAATTAAGGTTAGATATTATTCTATATGACCAACTCTGTCATCATACTATCACAAGACCTTATGAGCAGACTTCAATCTCCATGGTGATTACAACTTCAAAGTCCATACCATTAGTTTTCCAATGGGTTCTTTTCTCATTCCTCTTGATAACAGAATTCTTTAAATATCTGCGATCGGTCTTTTAATCGTTATGGTCACACATACACTGTCGACCTGGTGAACAAAGCGTCAGTAATTAACTTCTCTCTACCTGACTATATTAAATCTTACAACTTTCGCTCTATCCAACCCTATAATGTAATGAGTCTGTGCACGCATTATGATAGCTATGTTCCCCTCTGCGTAACTTCACTAGCAATCGTTGATAAAAAAGTTTTTGTTGTAGCTGATCTCAATCGACTACTTTTACTTAATTACTTGGCTTCACAGTCGCTATATGGTTTGTTTGACACGTTGAATCGCTTTGCTCAGTCAGAACTATCGCAACAATCTTCTAACCTACACAGCTATTCTCCAAATTAGTTTCCGGATTCATATGCCACTTTAATTCCTGCTTTCCTGAAAAATCTAACGTGAAGTTTCTAATCTCCCGACTTCAAATGGCCACACTACCGATGCTATGAACTCTGTCACACTTGTATTACGCCTGTTAATTATGTTATTTGTTTTCGTCATAATTCCTGTTAACTTCCTCATGAATTCTAGGCGAAACTAAGTAGTGTTACTTCTTTAGTGTGTTTCAGTTAATTAAAATCTTGATTTAGTTGCTTTATTGTTTGACCAAGTCTATCTTAATGTTATCTACCATGTCATGTTAACAAAATGAAATGGAATCACGCCATTCCTTAGTTGCCCTTATGAATAAGAAGTCTTTATTAATATGAAAAAGAGAAGACGTTCAGCGAAGAGACTCCTTTCGGCGAATTCAGTCACATAGCTGTACAATCGCATTTATATATAATTATTTGTGTGTGTGTGTGTACATGAGGTTTGTCAAGTTTAGATAATCGATGAGGTAATAAAAGAATGATCTAAAACAGAAACAAGGTTAGTTGGACAGCAACTAAAGTAAGATTGAGTTAGTAAGTTAGATGACGTAATATAATTGACTAAAATGTTTCAACTTAGGTCAGGTTAGCAACAGAGGTAGTTACAGGTAGACACTAAGTAGAAGTGGGGTAGAGAATAATGCCATTTAAATTGGGACGGAAATCGAGCAATTAAGTTGGATGACGTAACATAGATGACTAGAAATTGAGCGTTGGTTAGGTCAATAACAATGGTAGTGGGGTGTAGAGATTAAATCGGGTGGGGGTAGAGAACAAGAGAGTTGAAAATGCAAAATATTACAATTAAGAAGACAAAATAATACTAATGAAGAAACAGAGACAAAAAAAGATTAGGTAGAATTTACTTTTCAGGTAAAAAGGTAGGTTAAGTCCATTGTAAGTGTAGTGATTGAACGAACTTCTTCTGTATGCAGAGTTCAGGGCTTAGCAAGTGAATTCCCATTGCTTCTGCAGTTTGAAGAAGTCTGATTCGTACACCTTTAGGAAGACTACTTCTTACTCTGTAGACGACTTTGAAGTTTGTTTGGGGTGCAGCTTGGTGTCCGGATTCTACCAGATGTTCTAAGATGGAGCTGCGGGGATATCGTTTTTCTCCTTTGTAAAACCATGTTGGTAAGTGTTCGGTGATGCGCTTGGAAAGCGAACGCTGGGTACGGCCAACATACGTGGCTCCACACAAGCAGGTGAATTGATAAATACACATTGATGAGGCCAACAGTGGTAGCTTATCCTTCACGTTCACATGAATCATAGGTTTTGTGGAGAAAGTTAGTTGTAGTTCAGCTGCGAAGAAGGTCTTCTTGAGTGAGCGCGACAGTCGACTTTTTAGTATTTCCGCAGATATATCTCCATTGAATTGAAGGTTCATGTAGAGTGGTTTCTTTGGGACGCTAAGCATGGGCGGCTTTTGTGGTCTAGGATTCATAGATTTTGCAATAAATCGTTATGGGTAACAATTCTCGACGAGGATTCTCTTGAGATTGTCCAGTTCATCTTCTATGGTGTCTGGGGTACAAATTCTGCGAACTCTGTAGCTGAGTGAACGGATCAGGTTTCGTTTGGTGTATAGGGGTACCCAACTGTGGAAGTTAATAAGCTGTCCGTTCCATGTTGACTTTCTGTAGATAGATCTTTTCAGTGTTCCATCCTGTTCTCGTCTTGTTAGTCGGACGTCAAGAAAGGATATTTCGGAGTTGGACTTTCATGGTCCTGTTGGATACGTTGATGTTTTCGATTGAGTCGATAAAGTCGAATGAATATCGAACTGTGTGGCAGGAAACTTGTCTTCTGAGTGGTTCTAGTAGATCTGCTAGCCATTGGGCTGTGCCGTGATAAGGCGAATTGGTCATGTCGAGGATCGGTCGAAGAGGGATACCCTTTTTGTGTACTTTCGGAAGTCCGTAGAGTCGTGGTATATTTGAGCCGGATGGTCTTAGGGATTCGAACGTTTCGTTATTGATGAAAGATTCAGTTTTTAGCTTACGGAGGGTGTCCGTTAGCTTTTGTTCGGTCTATTCAGTCATGTTTTTCTCGTTAATCTGTTTTGTGAATTTACATTCATCGGATAGTATGGTCAGCATTTTACTGATATAGCCCTTGCGATTCATGATTATGATTCCTCCGCCTTTATCCGGACGTAATATCATAATCTCTTCGTTTTCCATAAGTTCTTTCAGCTCCTTATAGTGCCTCTTCGTCTGTGTATGATACTTTGATCGAAAATAGCTATCCCGAAAAATTTATCAAGAAACACATGACAAAGAAAGCAGTAAAGTACTACTCACTATCTGTTAACAAGAAGCCACTTTATATACGACTGTAATTCAAGGGCGATAAATTAAGTGAATTAATTACGAAAAAATCAAGAAAATCAGTTCGAAGAACTTTTAATGCTGGCAAACTATACGTTTTATTCTCTACACGACCTATGGTGCTACCTCGACTGAAAGATGGAGTACCCAGACTAGCCACTTCGAATTGTATCTACCAATTCAACTACGCTGGTGGAGCGAGTTATAATGGTCGTTGCTCTAGGAACTTGGTTTTTCGTGCTCGAGAATATCTCCCACTATGGCTACGTAAAGGTGTGAAAACCATTAACAGTTCGATATTGGACCATCTGGTGCAAACCAGCCACAAAGCCAGCGTTGAAGAATCCTCCTCTATCATTTACCGGGTGCCTAATAAATTGCTAAAAACATCGAAGCACCGAATGCTCCAAACACTAGAGGCTATTACAATTCGCCTCAAACAACCAGTGCTCCGTGTGCAAAAGAAGCAAGTCCAGCCCATACTACTGCACTGGTCTTCAGTAGAGACTATGAATTTGCAATATTATCTTTCCTAATTTTTCTGACACTCAGCTTATTTTAAGTCGATGCTATTGAACTGTAATCCACGGATATTATTGATTCGATGTTATTTAAACAACATTAATGTTATTCATAACACTAATTCACTTATTCACTATAATGTATATATAACTGTAAAGCCTGACGATGAAGTTATTGAAAAGAGTATTATTTGTTCAGTAACCACTCTTTCGATAATTTGCTTTTCCCTTTGATTGGTTGTGGTGGAGCAAAGTGCTCGTTATCTGCTGACATGTAGACTCAAGTAAGGACAGTCAGTCCCTATATTACTTTGTCGTCGAACAAAACAGTCTTCTCCAATCCGCAGATACACTGAGTTTTTAGCTTTACCATCTAACTCTATGTCTGTAAGTACAGGAATAAACTGGAAAAATCGATATATGTGATGGTATTTCCATTGATTTGCCAGAAAAAAATGTAGCGTTTATTTTCCTAGGGCTTTCTCACGACGTTATGGGTAAATTTTTCACGACAGTACTATTTTTAGTGGAGTCTTTCCAACAACTACTGAAAATCATCCATCTGTGTATCAAAGTTAAATATTATTTTTCATTTTCCTTCAATAACTATGAGAAGGTGGAGTCTTTGCGGATGGTGGTTAATTGTGTGAATCATCTTACTGTACGCAATCATCAAAGAACCACTATACCTAAATTGATTCTGCCTTATATCGAGTCAATTGCTTTAAATTGCATGTTTGTAACCAGCCTCGCTAATGTGAATCAGACAAATTAAGAATTTCTGAATATATGAAGAAGCTTCTAAGGAATGTGACAAAGGAAAGACGATTACTACAGGGCACTAGCAGCGAAAAAAAGGTTAAAACGGAACACTGCATTTAAACTAAAAAATTGCATTGTGTCAGCGTACCAATTGACTTAGTGCATATAGTAATTTTTCAATCGAATTTTAACACTGTGTCATGTAAGCGCCAGGTTATTGTTATTAGAATGTCATTTGTACTCTCAAGCAAGAATCAAACTTCATAAACGCACAGCACTTTCTGCGAAACTTTTCAATCCACTTATTTTATATAAGAAAATAACAGACGATTTTTATTATAAAGAGAAGCACAAACTTTTGAATAGTCTGTCTACATATTTTTATGCATGGTAATCAGCAACAGTTATTGTTAGGAACGGTGACACTAATTTCTAGTTGGAAAAACTAGTAGGTGAAGCGAAGTTCGAGTCTAAAACTGAATTTTCAGATAATCCACTACAAATTCGCATTAAAAGACTCCGTATTTCTCCGGGTTTTTTTTATCAACACGGACTGAAATAAATCTAGCCTATGAATTATATCCATTTACACAACCGAAAAGATGTTGAACGACATATCGTCCTTCATATCAATCACTTACCTCATAGTACACATTTGACGGGTGTGGCAGTTTTCCACAGTTTTTTACTGATCTTACACAGCAAGAATCAGGGACAACCAAGGAATATTCAGGATGCGGTAAGTTATCTTTTTGCTTGGAATTATTTTGGAAGACGCTTTCACTCCAGTCTCGAAAAGTTCGCGATCCACAACACTTAAACTTTTGCTGTATTTGATCTACAGCAGCATCAACATCCTCAGTATCATGATAATACTGTGTCTGCATGGTAAACATCAATCTGTCAGCAAGCCATTCAGTAAGGACATTTGAAAAGCATAGAGCCAGAACACCAGTAATGAACTGGATCAACAAGATGATGAAAAGCATCCATGCAAACTAAAAGGTAAGCTGTATAAAAACATATGTCTTACTGTTAGAAGTAGAGAAGATTTTCCATTAGAAACACCGACAAACCCGATTATGCAAACTATTAATAGAAGACCCCCAACAACGAACATAAGAAAGTGACTTAAGTATGCCACTTCACCCAGCAATACAGGTACAAACGGTGAGCGAATAACAAGCAAGAAAACGCCCAATCCAATTAAAGCTAGTGCAATTAACTACCCCAAAATATATTAACAGGGCGATAAATCATACCAGGATAATCGCAGTGAAAAATATCAGAAAGGTTTTAACCCAACTTGGTGTACATGAGCAGCATCTAGAATCATCCTCTTGAACTACTATTTCTTCATATCCCATCAACGGCTTCCCTGCGGGAGACGGCTTTGACTTCGCACCCATGACCTTCAAAATGTAGTCAGCGCTATAAACTGTAATTTGTTATTTACATATCCAAAACAAACTTCAGGTGCGAATGGCAGACAAAATAATGTCCAGGTCAGTCTCACAACTGTAAATTAGGGCAACAATCCTTCGCTTGGTCCCAACATCAGTGAACTTAAGTCTGCCAGTAAGAGAACATGTAAGTTACCCGCACTTGCATAAGCGTCTTGCTGCCAATCACTTTGCTGATACCAGCTGCAATCGGCTGATTGATTTCTCTACCTACTGACCAACTTTCCGACAACACAGTGGTTGAGTGAGCGGCATCTTACGTCTTGCCAGTAGACAATGTGCTACTGACAAAAAATGTTTAAGCTCTCACTATTTAAAATAGGCAGTATATGTGACATGTGTGTATAATTTTTCAGATTCAGACTTTTTATCGGGAATAAAAGGCAACAAGGCTGTGTTGATCACTTTCCAATGTGTATCTGTGCTGATCTGGTCCCTTGTTGACCGAGTACTTGAAGGTTGCAGGAACTACTTCTTCTAGGAGTCGGTCCCAGGGGTTTATGACTCGTTGGGAGAATCAGTACTCTTCAGAGGTACAGTTCCTCCTTGTTTTTCAACTCTCTCTGTGTCACCTGGGATGTTTAGGCTTACTGGAAAAAGAAATTGGAGACAGACAAGTTCCATGGTGATTACTTAAGATTTCGAGTTTTGTAATGAGACATCTCTGGCTACGATATGATAAGGAGATGAGATTCAAGCTTTTAAGCCCTTCCTCGCATGATAAGTTGGTCGTTTTTGAAAACTTACCAGTGGCCTTCCTCTGAACCCTTCCTGGAATGTATAAGTTACCCTTAAGACAAGAGCTATCTGCCTAAGTTCAACTTTGTAGCGGTAAAAAATTCCCCAAAACTATTGACCATAGGAATTGTCAGCCACGTCTCATAAACCGTTAATGCCCAGCTCTTGCTACGCTCGGGCCCACGCTGTTCCTTGCAGTTTTCCAGAAACGCTTAGTTATAACGGACGAAAAAGCCAAAAGATCGATTGGCCACTCGAGAATTCTTTATTGTTACACCAACATATAAAAATAATGTTTTTACTAGGGTTTCTGATGGTTTACTGCTGACTTCTTTCTGAACAGCGACCGATGAGACGATGACTGTCGTATTGATGCCTCCGCGAAAATTGGGGAAGTTGGTTTTGAGCAAACAACCATGAATTGATCGTTCAATCTTCAACTGCATTGACACTCCCCGGCAAAAAAGGGATCCAACCCTTTTTTCCTTCACGACCAATACACGTTGACTTGGATGCCATTGCGAGAACCTGGGTCACACGGACAGAGCTGAAATGGAAAACAAACAGAAAAGCCAACACACCACAAGCATACCCACAGCACAATCTCACACATCGATGACGACCTGCGCCTCCAGACAGAGACCTCCTCTTGACATCTTGCAACACAATCGCCACTTGCTAGAATGACTCTTGCAGAATGCAACGTGACCATAGCACCACCTCACGATACTCTACGCACATCCTCTTATCTACTCACTACCAATTACCACTGCAATCGCTTGTCACTCATTCTGCCTCAGTTCTAGTAACGGTGACGCATGCGAGCCTCAGTCGTTTACACTCTTTCTCCCCGGCGTGTCGGACCGCAGCTAACAATTATCTCCGTGTGCATTTCATTCTCAGCAATAGCCTAGCCTCCCCGGCGTATACGACCCATCTGCTGTCCTTAACATCAATCAATTCATTCACGGATGTAGAAGACTCGAAACAACTTCAGAAGTAATCACGACGAAAATTTTAACAAAATTATGCAATAACAACAAGGTACGAAAACAACGAGTAAACACAATGAATCCAAAAACACCAATTGATATGACACACCACACATATATACAAACAGTACACACAAACTCGCAGATCATGTCTTGATGGAATTCCTTTGAAGAATCGCAGGACTTACACCAGTACGCCTACAACCCTTCACAGGTTGACGATTGTAAGTTGTGGAATGTCCGGACACAAACAAGATTAACCAACAATTACAATAATTGGAACTCACACAATTATTTAACACAAACATATGTACAATCAACACATCAAATGTTGTGGATTCTGGCACGACAAACTACCCTTGAAGAACTGTAGGACTTACAGCAGTACGCCTACATTCCTTCTCAGGTTGATGATCCAAGTGGAAGTCGTCCGGACACAAACAGAATTACCAACAGCTAGATGACAGATGATATCAATTCAGTATATACAATATGAACATATGTACAAAATCACACACCAAGCACATTGGACTGCTCATTGATGCGCTACCCTTTGAAGAATTGTAGGACTTACAGCAGTACGCCTACAACCCTTCTCAGGTTGACGCTCTAGGTTGGAAAATCGTCTAGTGTTTCATCCTCCGACTCTCTACTCTCAGCACCTTCCAGTAGACACAGTTTTCTAATATCTCGCACCAACATGCCACAACTTGTTCTCACCTCAACCGTCCTCACCAATCCATCACCACTACAGATTAGCCTTACTACCACTCCCAAAGGCCACCTACCTGTGGCACATTTATCTGCTACTAATACTATGTCACCAACCTTTAAGTTTCGGCACAACTTTTTCCACTTGTCCCTGGTTTGCAGTGTTAGAACATACTCCTTTAACCATCTTTTCCAAAATATATCTTTCATGTGCCTGGCTTGTTTCCATCTTTTAATCGTAGGTATTCCTTCCCCGCTTGAGTCCTCTATGCCAGGGTTGCCTCTCAATAACAATAATTTATTTGGGGTTAACACATCAAAATCCTTGACGTCGTCCCTCACAGGTGATAACGGCCGGTCATTTAATATTCGTTCAGCTTCACAAAAAAATGTCTCCAGCGTTTCGTCATTCAAACTCTGGTTTTTAATTATGGAGCTTAAAATACGCTTGATAATTCCTATAAGTCTTTCCCATAGCCCGCCTCTATGGCTGGCATGTGGTGGATTGAAGTGCCACTCGATGTTCCTTTTCAGTAACTCTTCCTGAACTCTCGTTTGGGACCTTCGAAGTACTCTTTAAGCTCGGCGTGACAGCCAACAAAATTAGTCCCTCTGTCGCTGAACATCATCTTCGGTACACCCCGGCGATTTATAAATCTATGTAATGCTAGCACGAATGAATCAGTAGTTAGCGTATGAACCATCTCAATATGCACAGCTCTCATTTTCAAACAGGTGAATAAACAGCCATATCTTTTACATAGGGTTCTGCCTCTCTTCACTACAAAAGGTCCGAACAAATCCACCCCAACGTACTCAAATGGATAATTCCCTTCAGAAGCTTGCCACGCTGGGAGTGGTGCCATCATCTGCTGTACTGGACGAGCATTTCGGAGTTTACATTCCATGCACTTATCAATTATTTTACGGACAGCGGTACCTCCCTTCACTATCCAGAACTTACATCGAATACTTGATAGTACTTGCGAAGTACCCAAATGACCTTCAAGAACATGGTAGTGTCTTATAATGAGATCAGTGACTGGATGGTAGCAAGGTAATAAAGCCGGATGACGGGTCTCATATGACGATTCTAACATTTGTAGACGTCCACCAACTCTAGCGATCCCTTCGGAAACTATCGGAGATAATCTATCTAACCGCACCTTGAAATCTGCGAAATCGGGACTATCCTCCTTGGCAATCTCACCCCACGCTTCCCACTGAGCAGCCCTCAAAATCGCTAACTCTGCATTTCTAATATCTTCGACTCTCAAAGGCCCCACATTCATATTTTCGTATCCCGCAAGATGCATGACCTTTAAATACGTAACATATCGTGTCAACCACGCAACAGCTTTCAGTAGTTTGTACCAAGAAGAATAATATTTAAAAAGTGGATGTAAACCTGAATGTCTTTCTTGAGTAGATGTTAAACTGACACTTGTCTTCAACTCCAAGGCACACTCGTTTATCGGTGGTTCATCTTCTCTACGAGGCCACATACTATCAGCCCTTAGCAAGAACTCTGGACCTTTCCACCACTTATTTTTAACCACATTCATATCAATAACTCCTCGCGAGGCTAGATCAGCTGGATTTTTTCCAGACGGTACGTACCTCCACTGCTCAACAGTTGTTAGTTCACGAATTTGAGATACTCTGTTAGCTACAAAACATGCATATCTTGCTGACTCGTTGCGTATATAATATATCACAGACATCGAATCAGTCCAAAACGTTACGGGATGCTTGGGGTAATCCAACTCTTTACACACCGTTGTGAATAACTGCGCAGCTAGTAAGGCTGCATTAAGTTCTAATCTCGGAATCGAAACCGTCTTTAGAGGTGCAACTCTAGATTTACCCATCACCAGGCTAACATCTATATCATTCCTTAAGGTGGTTCTGATGTATACGGCTGCACCAAATCCAACCTCAGAGGCATCAGAAAAAACATGGAAGTCAATTATATCATGATTTCTCGACGGCTTAAGTGGACGTGAGACGGAATGTAGATTCAGCATTCTTAAACTGTTAACCCACCCCTTCCACTCTTCTCTCTGCCTCTCACTTAATGGTTCATCCCACTGTAACCCTTTCCTGCATGTCTCTTGAAATAACCTCCTAGCCGGAAGTAGATAAGGTGCTACTAATCCAAGTGGGTCAAACACGGACGACAACACAGAGAGCACACCTCTCCGAGTAACTGGCTT